CCCTACCTGGCAGGCGAGGGGGGTGGGGGGCGGCTCTGCCCCTCAGCGGGCTGCTCCCTAAATATTTTGTAACAGAATTTGTGAATGGATAGTTATCTGGAGGCAACTATAAAGGTCTATCCTACCCTAATCCTCTCTCCTTCACCATTTTCATCAAAATAACTTTAACAAATAGATAAAAGAACCCATGGGAAATTAACAGAAAAGGGAGGGAGATACCAAAAGTTTTGGGAAAATGGTTCCAAAGACCAAACTTAGTAAACTTGCAATTTTAGTTAGGTCCAATTGCTCAGTATCAGAATCCCTGTCATGAAGCATTTTATTTATTATGAAAATATCTATCACTAAGAAGCTATTAACTTAATAAATAATTAAAAGGATAGGAGAGAACACATAAGCTGGATTTTTCTAGCTTGGAAAATAACTATTGTATTTCTCCCATTAACTTTAAAATGTCAATTCTTTTGATGAACAGTATTTTTAATCTAATGTATTCTTGTAACAATAAAGATGATAAACATTTATAGAACCATATGCGTATAAATACCCTTCATAATGAGTTTTAAATAACAACAACTAATCAAAACAAAATTAAATGAATCAAAGTTGATAATTTCAACCTGTTCTCTATAGAAGATTGTATTACTGAATCACCTGACATCATTTGGGTCATGCCAGAGATAGATTTAAATGTAATTTAAGCTCTAAAACATTGTAAATATGGATCTCCTTTAACATATAAAACTTTCCTGTATCTTTTTGTGCAATATTTTAAAATCCATTTGTGTTGAAATTTCATTGAAATCATTTATATGTTGAGGTATTGGCTTTATGAATAATTAGTACAGAGAGACAAGGCTGTCTCCTGCCACTGATCCACCCTATTGTTTGAAATTCTTTTTTTTATTTTAATATTTTCAATTTCTTTTTTTTTAATTTAATTGATTTCATTTTTAAAAATACACAACAGCGGAATGATTATAATTCTTATTATACATATAGAACACAATTTTTCATATCTTTGTATATAAAGTATGTTCACGCCAATTCATGTCTTTATACATGTACTTTTTTTTGCATTACAATTCTTATTACACATTATCATGCAAACCCTTTCTATATGCTTATCATTTGTCTCCAAAGGTTCCATCTCAAAAAGCCTGTAACTATCTGGTAACAATTCAATCACTTGAAAACCTTTAACATTATCAGTTTTAAGTATATTGGCTTGCTCTCTTGGGGAAGTGATCAAGAAAAGGCAAATATTGAGGAAGAGTGAAACTAGGTGGGCTTCCATTGTTGGAAATGCTGAACACTCAGGAAAGCAACTGTAGAACCAAAAAACCCCCAAAGAAACAAAACAACTACAAAAATACTTTTGTACAAACAGAGGCAGACAAAATTTTGATAAATCAAGATTAAATATTAGGGCTGGAATTGTAGCCCATTGGTAGAGCTCTTGCCTAGCACATCTGAGGAACTGGATTTGATTCTCTGCACCACATAAAAAAAGGTATTGGTTGTGTCCATCTACAAATAAAAATATTTTTAAAAGAGTAAATATTAATATAAAACTGTTAGCTTCTTAAGAGTAAAAATAGACCTGATTGCTGCAAAAGTGTCAGATATATGTTCCTATACCTCTACTGAGGATCTGGGTTACATATAGATTCTGACGCAAAGATTCAGCACTACTGAATGGACCTCAAGAAATGCTGATGTTGCCTGTCCTAGGACCACACTCTGAATATCAAGGGTCTACAGAATATTTTATCACATATCTATTTTAAACAAATACTTTCATTTTAATGACTGGAAAGTTACAACAAAATGTTTTTATGATAGATAACAAACATGTTCTGAACACTTAAAAGGCTTATTTATTGATGGATCATGTTTATGAAGTTCTGTATTACATGACTTGGGAACAAAGAATATGTATGTCTGGACTTACTTATTGTTTAATGCAACAACACCAACTGTGCTTCTAGGAGTAGACATACTGGCCACATAATTCCACTGGCGTCCCTCAGGATCCCATCTTTCTACAGTATTTAGATAACTCCACCCATCATGACCACCTACAGCATACATTGGTCCTTCAAGTGTGGCTACACCTATAAGATAAATATAGTGTTAGAATTCAACTAAGTGTCATTCACAATATGCACTGTTTCATTTCACAAGCAACCTACTACTCAAAAATTGCTATACTTCTCAAATGGTTTTGCCTTCATAGAAATAATTTACTCAATTTGATCCCAGGCTAAATATAGTCTTCTAAACCTAGAAAACTTTTAGTTATAGCTACTTTACCATAGAAAGGTATCGTTGCTACTGAAGTCAAATAAGACACAGAATGCACCATTTCTAGGTATTCAATAAAAAAATGGGAAACTGTTTTCTTTCTGGCATAAAGTCAATGTGTTATTTTAATGCAAGAGGTAGATAAAATATTCAATCTTAGAAAAACCTGGAATTCTAGACTGAATGTACCATATCGTTTTAACTCTTGTTATTTAATATATAGATAAAAAAGAGTACTGTGAGATAATTAACCAGACATTGAGTTTTAAGATTTAATTAGTAGTTTGTTCTCTGCTTCCTATCTGTTCTGAGAAATCATATAATTGAGTTTTTCTACACTTTATTCATCATCTCAATCCCCCTTTCAGTGATGTATCTTCATCTTCTTTCCTACCTCTTTAATATCATTAATTATATTGAAAACAAACTTGCTCTGATTTTTTTTTCTACAGGACATGATTTCTTATCTGTAAGAACTATACTGACATAACCAATCTTAATAATCACATAGTGCATATGTGACAGAAACAATTTATCTGGATAATTGGTAGAGGTGATACCAGTCCTGGATCTGCCATACTTCAGCTATAAAAAGTTCATTATTAAAAAAGCCAATTCTCATGGTGTTTTTTAATCAACACTATGACATCTCAAACATATGGAATCTAGTATGAAGAAAGATGTATCCTGACAGATATTCAGGAGAATAAATATGTCCCACTATTCCATAAGTCCTTACTTCATTTATCTTAAACTTCTTGGAAACTGCTGGGCAATGTATAAGTTAAAATTGTTTTCAACCAAAGTGTTTCTCTGAAACAACTTTACCTTGGACCTGCATCCTAAGAGTTTTGAAGAAATATAGATTTGATTCTTGTGGGAAGATACATAATTCATCTAACTAGAAACATAATATCTCTCTATCATCAAATGGTCTCCTCTCTATAGTGACCTTAGGAGAAAACTTCCTGTTGTAATTTTAGGTTCCTCAATAATATAACCTACCTAAAGTTGCTATCTTTGTTAAAATATAATCCTCTTTTAAAAATGGTATAAAGGAAGCAGGATTAACAAGTATGTAATCTATTACATTTAAAGAGTTTCATGGGTTTTTAATATTTGCTTAAGCTTTTCAGCATTTAGAATCATTTTGACCTAGAGTTTGACTAAAGTCCAAAAATGTAAAACTATGGTTCATTTAAAAAAATATTTACTATACATTCTTAATGAATTATATAGCATTAATTCTTACCTAAGCCATGCCTGTGTGTTGACATGGGAGGCATGACAATCCAGATTTTGGCAACAGGATTAAAACATTCGACAGTATTCAAAGTTTTTAGACCATCTCTTCCTCCCACAACATAAAGCTTATTATCAATAACTGCAACACCAAACTGAAGCCTACGGCCACTCATGGTGCCAATATGCAGCCAATTGTTGGTTCTGAGGTCATATTTTTCAATTGTAGTGGTACCTGTTAAAGGGATATTTGACAATGGTAAAAATCATTTATATTAAAAATTTTAAGTTGACATAATTCACATTATATTTTTATATCCACAACTTACAGTAAATTATCAAGGATTGCAGCTCATACTGCACTAAGTAGCCCAGATGACACTACAACATGACAGATAAAGCAAAGGGTAAAATATTTACTTACCACTTTTGGGTCAAAATGGAAAAGTCAGAATAAAATAATACATATGGCATATATATTATATATTTATACCTCATTTGGCAATATTGTGCTATTGGTAGTACTAATACATGTGTGAAATATTATATTTTATAAAACATACCTTGGATTCTGTTATTCAATATTTACACGTCTTTTACAGTTTTAGTTACGTATGAGCATTGGGTATGTTGATTTCTGCTCCACTGTTCAGGTTGTAAGGTGTGTGCATGTGTGTTTTAAAAGACAAATGACTAAAGAACAAGGAACTGATACACACAATGTTTCATGGTAGTATCACAAATCATGGTTAAGACTATAGAAATCTGAGGTATTACTTTAGATTTTAATAAAATTTCATTTTCTACCCTATTACTAAAAAATTTTTATGGCCATGGGAAATTATCACTACCATCATTATAAGTAATAATAAATTGTAACTTCTGCAGACAATTCTTGATTATCATTCAGTCATAATTGCTGCTGATACAGTAAAAGAAGATTTTGCACAAAATAGAGCCTTCTTTCAGTACTAACTATGATGGAAAATGCTAAAATTATTATTCAAACCAATAGTGTTCCTAATATACTATGTGGAAAGTTTAGGAATCTTCATACCAATTGCACAAAGCCAAGAACAGAGATATGAAAATTACATTTTCTAATTGTCCCTTTACTGAGAGATTTGTGGAGAAAAAAATCCATCAGTTATTATGGAAAAAAATTAATATCTGAAGTTTATTCTATGGCAGTTATAAGGCTATGGTATGGGGTAACATCAAGTCAAAGTTTGATCATAGTACATTTTAGATATTTTGTTAAATCTGAATATTTTTGTTGGGTTACATTTTTTATTAGATTATCATTTCTGCACTAAACATATTCAGATGACACTGTTCAAACTTGAATATCTACAAACACATCTAGTTTCACTCCTGTTTCTTTCAACTAGTTTTCTCTGAATGTTTTCATATTTCCTTATTCCAATTTTCCAAAATCTTTCTCCATATATGTATATGTACATATATGCATACATATACATACATACATATACATGAATACATTTGTATATGTTAACTTCTTCTAACTCTTTCCATTAGTGGACTTTACAAGCTAGCCAATTTAGATTAGGACACAAAAGCTAGGCTGTATTAATTATTGATATCATGGTGATATTCATGTTGAAGTAATTAGGTAGGAAACTGTACAAAGCTACATTAATTAACTGTATACAGAAGGTTTACACTGAAAGTTGCAGACATTTGCCTTATGCCAGGTTAATATTTCCAGGAATTATATTAACTGTTAAATAAGTTTATTTCTCACTTCTCTGTTACCATCATGAATGTTTATGAACCAGTAGTTTGGTATCTTGAATTCAGGAGAATTCCCTATCCCATTTGCCCATACCCACTAATGTGCCAACTAATTAAGATGTAAATTCTCTAGCTAGTTTATTATGATAGCTCCACATTTCATGGAAAAAATCATAAATTATATTTTGGCTTTTTTGTATTTTTTCTGTGGAGATCACTCTTTTGCTGAGAATGTTACAAATACTGTTTCTCAAGGCATTTTGAAGCTCAATTTGTTAATTATAATCTTAGCAAGAATGAACAAATCCCATTAAACTTTGTAATACTGCTGGGAACACAATATTTCCTGCAGTTGTGAATATATATGAATTAATGATTTCCTTTATTTATTTTTAAAATGAACTAAAAGGGACTATAATCACATTTCCTTTATCATATGTGGTATTGTCTCTCAGAATTCATTGCTTTTAATGAATAAATCATTACTAAATAGTTTATATGTACAAAGTTTATCATTGGACTATTGTAAAATTTCAACCTTGTTCACACATAGAACTTTTCTGATTATTCTTTCAGATACATTCTAAAAGTTATTATTAATTTGTGTGGTATCTATATTTAGCAATTAATTCTGAGTTTATTGCATGAGTCAGAGAGGAAATTAAAAACAGAGGAAGTACTATATTTAATAGACATCAAAAGGTGAAAGCTGAAAATATTATATCTTTTAAAAATAACTGAAATAACACACAATAAGAGCTCTAATTATAGACAATATTTTTATAGTTTTATGAAAGAATGGTAATTGACATTTTTTCAATATAATATTGGTTTATATAAATATATGTTACATTTTAATGTTCTTTGTTATATTTCTTTCTTTATCCCACTTTTTATTTTTCAAGAGATTCTAAGGCATATAAGAAAGAGAGTGTTTTGCTATTGTTCTTCCTTTTAGAATAGTGGTAGTATAAAAAGACACACACAGAATTTGAGTCAGAATTCAATTTCTAGACTTTCTCCATGTTTGTCCTTGGGTTGGCTAACTAATATTAATATGTGCAAATTAGAAGTAATAAAACTTCTTTTGCAGTATGGTTGTAAGGATTAGAAATGATGTTTGAAAATGACAATCAAGGATTGGGTACTCAAAAATTGGAACTTTAAGTATTCTTCTAGCAATCTGCAACATCCCATAGAGACATTTATAGTGTCTCCACCTAGTAGGAACTCAAAGGGTCTCAAAATAATGGTCTCTACTTTCCATAACAAACTGTGGTAACAGAGACTAGGGATTATAGGCTCCCATTTTACTCATTTTATGAAATTGAGTTGATAATTAAAATGATAAATGAACTAAAAAATAATCTAAGGAATGAACTAAGAAAATACAGAAAGGGAAAAAACACTGCAATAAACAGATGGAGGTTATGGAGAAGAACTAAGTAGAAATACTGAAAATGAAATATTCAATAAATCAAATTAAAAATTTTGTTTGAAACTATAGCCAAGAGATTAGACTATGTATAACACAGATTTTCAGGCATCAAATGAAGAATATAATCTTGAAACCCAGTAAACAAAAACGAAAACATGATAAGTGACTATGGCCAGAGTGTTCAAGAAAAATAAGATAGTATTAAGAAACCAAATCTTAGAATATTAGCTTAGAAAAAGATATTGAGATACAAACTAAGGGAATTTACCATACTTTCAGTGAAATAATATCAAAATATTTTTCAAAGCTTGGGAACGAAAGGGAAATCCAAATATGTGAACCCTTTAGAATCCCAAATAAATAAGATCAGAAATGATTCTCTTCATGACAAATTAAAATACCTATTACACAGAAAAAGGACAACATTTTAAAATCCACAAGAGAAAAATAGCAGGTCATATTTAGAGGCAAATACAAAATACTCCTCATCTTCAGTTCAATCTCTAAAAGCCAGGAGGGATTAGAACAGTACATACCAAGTCCTGAGAGGTAATGCTTGACAACCAGGATATCTATATCAAGCAAAGCTATCCTTCAGAATTCAAAATGAGAAAAAAACCCTCTAATATAGGCAGAAACTAAAAGAATTTTGACTACAAATTAAGTACTATTCAAAATATTCAATAAAATATTACATGTAGATATAATGAAAAACAAATGTTAGAGCCAGCAAATGGATGAATATTACAAGTATAGCCAAATAAAAGAATTAGATATTAGAAGTAAATTAAAATAGCATAATATGGTAATCATCTCTCTATAATAACACTGAATGAAAACTGGTCTCAAATCTCAAATTACAAGATATAGACTGGCAGAATGAACTAGAAAACAAGATGTACCCATGTATTGTTTACAGAAGACTCACCTTACAGGCAAAGAGAGCCATAGACTAAAGATGAAAGGATAATAAAAGATATATAATGCAAACATAGTACAAAGACAAACCAGGGTAGCTATTCTCATAACTGACAAAGCTGACTTAGAGTAAAAATTAATAATAAAAGACAGATAATTCATTATTTTAATAAATAAAACATTAATGAGTAGCTTGTATGTACAAGATAAACAAAGTTTATCATTTTACCATTTTTAAATTTCAACCTTGATCCTGCTTAGAACATTCTATTCATTGTCATCATTCTTTTATATACATTATAAAAAGTCTTTACAATATTATACTGGTGAAGGAACTATTCAGCAAGAATAATGATTGTGAATATTTCTGCCTCAAATATTAGCACACTTACTAACATAAAGCAAACCCTACTCAATATATGATGACTTAGTTATCCCCAAATACAATACTACTGGGTTGTTTCAACAGACTTCTTTCACCAATAGATAGCTCATCCACATAAAAAAATCAAGTTTCTTCAGACCTACAAAATAATATTAAAAAAACAGACCTATCAGTCATTTATATAATATTTCATTCATCTCCAACAGAGGTCACCTTCTTTTCAGATACATATGGAATCTCCTCCAAAATATACCATATTTTAGGACACAAAGCAAGACTTAACATATAAAAAACAGAGATAATTTTTCATATTGTGAGAAAATAATGAAATAAAATTAGAAATCAATTACAAAATAAAAAGAAATAATTTTAATATATGGAATTTGAATATTGTACTTTTGAAGGAGAAATGGTTCATAGCAGAAATCAGGAGGGAAACCAAACCAATTATTAGAAACAAGAATAGAGATAAAACATAATCTCCAGGACATTATGAAGCAGTTTTAAGAGGAAAGTTTATAATACTGAGTGTCTACATAAAAAAGAGAAAGACCTCAAAGCCCTAGAAAAGCAAGAACAAACTAATTCTGAGACCAACAGAAGACAGGATATAATTAAGAGTCAAAAGTAATGAAATTGAGAATAAAAAATACAAAGGATCAATGAAAGAAAGTATTGGTTCTTTGAAAAGATGAACAAAATTGATAAATACTTAGCCAAACTAGCCAAAAGAAAAAGA